AATCCCAAATTCTGCTGGAAAATCTCAAATCCCAGATCCCAAATTCTGCGGGAAAAGCACCGATCCCGAATCCCAAATATTTTGGGGGAAAAGCTCTGATCCAGATCCCAAATTCTGTGGGAAGTGCCCCAACATGGAGAAGATCCCAAATCCCAAATCCTGCAGGAAAAGCTCTGATCCCAAATCCCAAATTCCACAGGGAAAGCTCCGGTCCTGAACCCCAAATTCTGCGGGAAAAGATCCAATCCCAGATCCCAAATCCGGCAGGAAAAGCACCGATCCTGAATCCCAAAATTCTGCAGGAAAAGCTCTGATCCCAAATCCCAAAATTCTGCAGGAAAAACTCCAGCATGGAGGAGATCTCAGATCCCAAATCCTGCGGGAAAAGCACCGATCCCGAATCCCAAATATTTTGTGGGAAAAGTTGTGATCCAGATCCCAAATTCTGTGGGAAGTGCCCCAACATGGAGAAGATCTTGGATCCTAAATCCTGTGGGAAAAGCTCTGATCCCAAATCCCAAATTCTGTGCGGAAAGCTCTGATCCCAGATTCCAAACCCTGCGGGAAAAACTCCAATCCCAAATCCCAAATTCTGCAGGAAAATCTCAAATCCCAGATCCCAAATGCTGTGGGAAAAGCACCGATCCTGAATCCCAAATATTTTGTGGGAAAAGCTGTGATCCAGATCCCAAATTCAGGAGGAAAAGCGCCAACATGGAGCAGATCCCAGATCCCAAATCCTGTGGGAAAAGCTCTGATCCCAAATCCCAAATTCTGCAGGAAAAACTCAAATCCCAGATCCCAAATCCGGCAGGAAAAGCACCGATCCTGAATCCCAAATATTCTGTGGGAAAAGTTGTGGTCCAGATCCCAAATTCTGTGGGAAATGCTCCAACATGGAGAAGATCTTGGATCCTAAATTTTCCGGGAAAAGCTCTGATCCCAAATCCCAAATTCCACAGGGAAAGCTCCGCTCCTGAACCCCAAATCCTGCGGGAAAATCTCAAATCCCAGATCCCAAATCCTGTGGGAAAAGCTCTGATCCCAAATCCCAAATTCTGTGCAGAAAGCTCCGATCCCAGATTCCAAATCCGGCAGGAAAAGCTGCGATCCCAAATCCCAAAATTCTGCAGGAAAAACTCCAGCATGGAGGAGATCTCAGATCCCAAATTCTGTGGGAAAATCTCCGACCCCAGATTCCAAATCCTGTGGGAAAAGCTCCAACAAGGAGAAGATCCCAAATCCCAAATCCTGCGGGAAAATCTCTGATCCCAAATCCCAAATATTTTGTGGGAAAAATTGTGATCCAGATCCCAAATTCAGGAGGAAAAGCGCCAACATGGAGGAGATCTCAGATCCCAAATCCTGCGGGAAAAGCTCTGATCCCAAATCCCAAATTCTGCAGGAAAATCTCAAATCCCAGATCCCAAATTCTGCAGGAAAAGCACCGATCCTGAATCCCAAATATTTTGTGGGAAAAGCTCTGATTCAGATCCCAAATTCAGGAGGAAAAGCACCAAACATGGAGGAGATCCCAAATCCCAAATCCTGTGGGAAAAGCTCCGATCCCAAATCCCAAATTCTGCAGGAAAATCTCAAATCCCAAATCCTGTGGGAAAAGCAGTGATCCCGAATCCCAAATATTTTGTGGGAAAAGCTCTGATCCAGATCCCAGATTCTGTGGGAAAAACTCCAACATTGGGAAGATCTTGGATCCCAAATCCTGTGGGAAAAGCTCTGATCCCAAATCCCAAATCCCACAGGGAAAGCTCCGCTCCTGAACCCCAAATCCTGCGGGAAAATCTTCAATCCCAGATCCCAAATCCTGCAGGAAAAGCTCAGATCCCAAATCCCAAATTCTGTGTGGAAAGCTCCGATCCCAGATTCCAAACCCTGCAGGAAAAGCTGCGATCCCAAATCCCAAAATTCTGCAGGAAAAACTCCAGCATGGAGGAGATCCCAGATCCCAAATCCTGTGGGAAAATCTTCAATCCCAGATCCCAAAATTCTGCGGGAAAATCTCTGACCCCAGATCCCAAATTCTGTGGGAAAAGCTCCGATCCCAAATCCCAAATCCTGTGCGGAAAGCTCCGATCCCAGATCCCAAATCCCACAGGAAAAGCACCGATCCTGAATCCCAAAATTCTGCAGGAAAACCTCTGATCCCAAATCCCAAAATTCTGCAGGAAAAACTCCAGCATGGAGGAGATCCCAGATCCCAAATCCTGCGGGAAAAGCTCCAATCCCAAATCCCAAATTCCACAGGGAAAATCTCAAATCCCAGATCCCAAAACCTGTGGGAAAATCTTCAATCCCAGATCCCAAATCCTGTGGGAAAAGCTCTGATCCAGATCCCAAATTCTGTGGGAAAAGCTCCAACATGGAGAAGATCCCAAATCCCAAATCCTGCGGGAAAAGCTCTGATCCCAAATCCCAAATTCTGCAGGGAAAGCTCCGCTCCTGAACCCCAAATTCTGTGGGAAAAGCTTCGATCCCAGATTCCAAGTCCTGCAGGAAAACCTCTGATCCCAAATCCCAAAAATCTGCAGGAAAAAACTCCAGCATGGAGGCGATCCCAGATCCCAAATCCTGCAGGAAAACCTTCAATCCCAGATCCCAAATCCTGTGGGAAAATCTCCAACCCCAGATCCCAAATCCTGTGGGAAAAGCTCCGGTCCTGAATCCCAAATTGTGCGGGAAAATCTCAAATCCCAGATCCCAAATTCTGCGGGAAAAGCTGCGATCCCAAATCTCAAATTCTGCAGGAAAACCTCTGATCCCAGATCCCAAAATTCTGCAGGAAAAAACTCCAGCATGGAGCAGATCCCAGATCCCAAATCCTGTGGGAAAATCTCAAATCCCAGATCCCAAATCCTGTGGGAAAAAGCACTGATCCTGAATCCCAAATGTTCTGCAGGAAAACCTCTGATCCCAAATCCCAAAATTCTGTGGGAAATGCTCCAACATGGAGAAGATCCCAAATCCCAAATCCTGTGGGAAAAGCACCGATCCCGAATCCCAAATATTTTGTGGGAAAAGTTGTGATCCAGATCCCAAATTCAGGAGGAAAAGCGCCAACATGGAGGAGATCCCAAATCCCAAATCCTGCGGGAAAAGCTCTGATCCCAAATCCCAAATTCTGTGGGAAAATCTCAAATCCCAGATCCCAAATTCTTCAGGAAAAGCAGTGATCCCGAATCCCAAATATTCTGTGGCAAAACCTCTGATCCCAAATCCCAAATTCTGTGGGAAGTGCCCCAACATGGAGAAGATCTTGGATCCTAAATTTTCCGGGAAAAGCTCTGATCCCAAACCCCAAATCCTGCGGGAAAAGCTCCAACACTGAGGAGATCCCAGCTGGCAAATCCTGCAGGAAAAGCTCAGATCCCAAATCCCAAACCCTGGAAAAACTCCAATCCCATTCCCAGCCCATTCCCGCCCCTGCCTGGCCACCTCCCCTCAATCCATGGAGTTCCCACCCCATTCCCAAGCCATTCCTTGTCCATTCCCTGTCCATTCCCATCCCTTTTCCACAATTCCCAGCCCCATTCCCGCCCCATTCCCGCCCCATTCCTGCTCCATTCCCTGCCCATTCCTCCATTCCCAGCCCCATTCCCGCACCTGCCTGGCCACTTCCCCTCAATCCATGGAATTCCCACCCCATTCCCACCCCATTCCTGCCCCTAGTACCATTCCATTCCCATCCCATTCCTACATCATTCCCTGTCCATTCCCACCCCTTTTCCATCATTCCCACCCCATTCCCACCCCATTCCTGCTCCATTCCCTGTCATTAACTCCATTCCCAGCTCCATTCCCGCACCTGCCTGGCCAAAACCCCTCCATCCAAGGAATTCCCACCCCATTCCCAAACCATTCCTTGTCCATTCCTGCTCCATTCCCATCCCTCTTCCACAATTCCCTGGCCACCTCCCCCTCCATCCATGCAATTCCCAGCCCCATTCCCACCATTCCCACCCCATTCCCAGCCCCATTCCCGCACCTGCCTGGCCACCTCCCCTCGATCCATGCAATTCCCACCCCATTCCCAGATCATTCCTTGTCCATTCCCATCCCTGCCCATTCCTCCACTCCCAGCCCCATTCCCGCACCTGCCTGGCCACCTCCCCTCGCTCCGCGTGTCCCGCTCCCCTCTGGAAGTGGACGATGCCCAGGACAGCAGCAGGATCTGCGCCAGCCCCAAACCAGACCCTGCCCCATTCCCTGCCCCATTCCCAGCATTCCCAACCCATTCCATGACCAATTTCCACCATTCCCACTCCCATTCCCAGTCCCCATTCCCAGTCCCCATTCTCCGTCCATTCCCATCCCATTCTCTTTCCATTCCTGCTCCATTCCCAGCCCATTTCCACCATTTCCTGCCTGAACCCGCGATCCATGGAATTCCCACCCCATTCCCGCCCCATTCCTGCCCTAGTCCCATTCCATTCCCATCCCATTCCTACGTCATTCCCTGTCCATTCCCACCCCTTTTCCATCACTCCCACCCCATTCCCGCCCCATTCCCGCCCCTGCCTGGCCACTTCCCCTCCATCCATGGAGTTCCCGGCCCCATACCTGCCCCATTCCTGCCCATTCCCAGCCCCATTCCCGCCCCTGCCTGGCCACCTCCCCTCCATCCATGGAATTCCCAGCCCCATTCCTGCCCCATTCCCAAACCATTCTATTTCTATTCCCACCATTCCCAGCCCCATTCCCGCACCTGCCTGGCCACCTCCCTCAATCCATGCAGTCCCAGCCCCATTCCCACCCCATTCCCGCCCCTGCCTGGCCACCTCCCCCTCCATCCATGGAATTCCCAGCCCCATTCCCAGCCCCATTCCCGCCCCATTCCCGCACCTGCCTGGCCACTTCCCCTCCATCCATGGAATTCCCACCCCATTCCTAAATCATTCCCAGTCCATTCCCATCCCTTTTCCATCATTCCCAGCCCCATTCCCGCCCCATTCCCAGCCCCATTCCCAGCCCCATTCCCGCACCTGCCTGGCCACCTCCCCTCGCTCCGCGTGTCCCGCTCCCCTCTGGAAGTGGACGATGCCCAGGACGAGCGCGTGCCCGCCGCAGGAGGCGGCCGCCAGCAGCAGGATCCGCGCCAGGCGCAGCGGCAGCGTCAGGAAGCAGGAGAAGGCGAAGAACGCCTGCCAGCCCGCCGTGTCCACGGCCTCCGGGAAACTCCGGCGGAATTCCAGCCCCAGCAACGCCCAGAGCTGCGCCACCGTCAGCGCCCACAGCCCGCAGGGCAGGAATTTCTGGCAGAAATCCTCGGGGAGAAGCCGCGATTTCAGCAGGAGGAAAATCGCCCCGTGCGCCACCAGCCCGGCCAGCGCCGCCAGCGCCGGGAAAAGTTTTTCCATGCGGGAAAAGCCGGCGCACATGCCCAGGATGTAGCAGTCGAAGAGGGCGGAGAAGACGACGAGGACCAGCAGCGTTTCGTGGCGCTGGCGGCGGAAATAAGTCTGGTAGAGCTTTTCCAAGGATTCCGGAGAGAAGGAGAAGCGCCGGGAATGCGGCAGGCACGGGCAGGGGCCGCCCCAGGGGCCCTGCGGGGCCGGCGAGTCCCGGGACCGGCGGAGATTCCCGTCGGGATCCGATGGGAAACTCAGGGAATAATCGGCCGAGTACTCGGCCGAGAATTCGGGCTCGGAGAAGGCGCGGGTCCTGGGCATGGTGGGCGCCAGGGATTGGAATTTTGGGATTCCCGGGGTTTTTTTTTGGGGTTTTTTTCCAGAGGGAAGCGCGGGGATGCTCAGCGCAGCAGCGACACCGGCGGCATCGCCGCCCTGCGGGGCCTGGGCGATCCTCGGGCGGCTTCGATCGCCCCGGGGAAAATCCCAGGATCGGAATTTTGGAGGCCGGGATTCCCGGCTGAGTCCTGGAATTCCTTCCCGGTCGAATCCCGGTTGATTCCCGGCCAATTCCTGGCCAAATCCCGCCGAATCCCGGATTTTTCCCGGCCGATTCCCAAAATCCTTCCCCGGTTCCTGCCTCGCCGGTTCCCGGCTGATTCCCCAAATTCCTTCCCGGTTTTCCCCGGCTGATTCCCGAATTTCCTTCCCAGCCACTTCCCGGATTTTTCCCGGCCGAATCCCGGCTCCTTCCCCGCCGATTCCCGGATTTTTCCCGGATTATTCCCGGTCCTTTCCCGGCTGATTCCCGAAATTCCTTCCCGGCTCCTTCCCGGCCGATTCCCGGATTTTTCCCGGATTATTCCCGGTCCTTTCCCGGCTGATTCCTGAATTTCCTTCCCAGCCAATTCCCGGCTCCTTTCCCGGCCGAATCCCGAAATTCCTTCCCGTGCGATTCCCGGATTTTCTTCCCGGTTCCTTCCCGGTCAATTCCCGGATTTTCTTCCCGGTTCCTTCCCGGTCAATTCCGGCTGATTCCCGAATTTCCTTCCCGGCCGAATCTCAGCTCCTTCCCGGATTTTTTGCCCGGGTTATTCCCGGTTCCTTCCCCGCCGATTCCCGGATTTTTTCCCGGTTTTTTTTCCCGTTTTTTTCCCGTTTTTTTCCCGGTTTTTTCCCGGCTCCTGGGGCCGGTTCCCAGCTGCTTTTCCAGGCGCTTTTTCCCAGCTTTCCCAGCTCTGCCCCAGAGATGTCGCGATGCCTGCCCTGCTCCTCCTTCCCGACGGGAGCCGCAAAAACCGAGCCCGAAAAAACCGGGAAAAATCGGGAAAAAAACGCCAAAAAACAGGGAAAAATAATAAAAAATAAGAATATGAGGGGCGGGAGGCGATCCCGGCGGCGCTTCCCGGTTCCCGCATCCTTTTCCCGGTGCTGGGTTCGGCGGGGCTCGGGTGCGGTGGGAAAAGCTCGGGTGGAAAAGCGGGAAGGGATGGCCCGGGATGCAGGCGGGGCCGGCCCCGGAACCCTCGGAGCGCCGGGATGGGGGAAAAAAACTGAAAAAACAAAAAACAAAAAGAATTAAAAAAAAAAAAAAAACAAACAAAAAAAACCAACCCCAACCCCCCCCCGAAAAAAAAACCCAAAAAAAACCCCCCAAAAAACCCCCCAAAAAAACAAACAAAAAAAACCAAACAAACCCAAATAAAACCAACCCCCCCCAAAAAAAAACCCCCAAAACCCCCCCAAAAAACCAAAAAAAAAACCCCCAAAAAATACCAAAAAACCCCAAAAAAACCCCCCCAAAAAACCAAAAAAAACCCCAACCCCCCCCAAAACCCCCCCCAAAAAACCCCCAAAGAACCCAAAAAAAACCCCCAAAAAACCCCCCCAAAAACCCCCAAAAAAAGCCCCCAAAGAACCCAAAAAAAAAAACCCCAAAAAAACCCCCAAAAAAACCCCCCAAAAAACCCCCAAAAAACCCCCAAACCCCCCCCAAAAAACCCCCCAAAAAAAACCTAAAAAACCCAAATAAAACCAACCCCCCCCCAAAAAACCCCAAAAAAACCCCCAAAAAACCAAAAAAACCCCCCCAAAAAACCCCCAAAAAACCAAAAAAAACCCCCCCAAAAAACCCAAAAAAACCCCAAGCCCCCCCAAAAACCCCCCAAAAAAAACCCCCCAAAGAACCCAAAAAAAAAAAACCCAAAAAAACCCCCAAAAAAACCCCCCAAAAAACCCCCAAAAAACCCCCAAACCCCCCCCAAAAACCCCCCAAAAAAACCACTAAAAAACCCAAATAAAACCAAACCCCCCCCAAAAAACCCCCCAAAAAAACCCCCAAAAAATCAAAACCCCCCCCAAAAAACCCCAAAAAACCCAAAAAAAAAAACCCCAAAAAACCCAAAAAAACCCCAAAAAAACCCCCCCAAAAAAAAACCCCAAAAAAATCCAAAAACCCCCCCAAAAACCCCCAAAAAACCCCCCAAAAAACCCCCAAAAAACCCCCAAAAAACCCCAAAAACAAACAAAAAACACAAAAAAACCAAACAAATAAAAACCTCCCCCAAAAAAAACCAAAAAAACCACAGAAAACCCCCCAAAACCCCCAAAAAAACCCCAAAAAACAAAAGAAAAAACCAAACCAAACCAAACAAACAAAAAAACACCAAAAAAACACCAAAAAACAACCAAAAATCCCCCAAAATCCCCAAAAATCAAACAAAAGAAAAACCAAAAAAAACCCCCAAAAAACCCCCCCAAAACCCCCCAAAAAAGCCAAAAAAACCCAAAAAAAACCCAAAAAACCAAACCAACAAACAAAAAAAACCACCCAAAAAACCAACAAAAAATCAAACAAAATCCCCAAAACCCCCCATAAATCCCCAAAAATCAAAGGAAAAAACCAAAAAAAAACCCCAAAAAAACCCCAAAAAAACCCCCAAAAAACCCCCAAAAAAACCACTAAAAAAAAACCAAAACAAAACAAACCAAACCAACAAACAAAAAAACCCCCAAAAAACCCCATAAATCCCCAAAAATCAAACAAAGGAAACAACAAAGAAAAATCCCCCCAAAAAACCCCCCCAAAACCCCAAAAAAAAACCCAAAAAAAACCCCCCAAAAAACCCGCGAAAAACCAAAACAAAACAAAAAAAATCCAAACCAAACCAAACCAACCAAAAAACAAAAGAAAAACATCCAAAAAACCAACAAAAAACCAAAAAACCAAAACCGCCCCAAAATCCCCATAAATCCCAAAAAACAAACAAAAGAAAAACAAAAAAAAACCCAAAAAACCCCAAAAAACCCAAAAAAACTCCCAAAAACTCCCAAAACCAAACAAATAAAACAAAAAAAAAAACTAAAAATCCCCAACTCCCCCCAAAAAACCCAAAAAACCCCCCAAAATAAACCCAAAAAATCCCCAAAACCCAACCAAATAAAAAACCAAAATAAAACCCAAAAAACCCCAAAACCAAACAAATAAACCCCCCAAAAAACCCCCAAAAATCCCCAAACCCAACCGAATAAAAAACAAGAAAAAAAAAACCCAAAAACCAAAAAAAACCCAAAAAACCAACAAATAAAGTCCCCCCCAAAAAAACCCCAAAAAAACCCCAAAAAACCCCCAAAACAAATAAAACACCAAAAAACCCCTAAAAATTCCCACCCCCAAAAAAGCCACAAAAAAACCCCAAAAAAAACCCCCCAAAAAACCCCAAAAAACCCCAAAAACTCCCAAAACCAAACAAATAAAACCCCTAAAAATCCCCAAACCCCCCCCAAAAAACCCCCAAAAAACCCCCAAAATCCCAAAACGCGAATGAATAAAAAACCAAAATAAAACCCCCAAAAAATCCCCAAAAACCAAAAAAATCCAAAAAACCAACAAATAAAGGCCCCCCCAAAAAAACCCTAAAAAACCCCAAAAAACCCCAAAAAACTCCCAAACCAAACACATAAAACACCAAAAACCTCTAAAAATCTGCAACCCCCCCAAAAAACCCCAAAAACCCCAAGAAAAAACCACAAAAAACCAAAATCCCCAAAGCCTAAACAAATAAAAAGCACAAAAAAACCCCAAAAAACCCCAAAAAACCCCAAAAAACCCCCAAAAAACCAACAAATAAAAACCTCCCCCCCAAAAAAAACCTCAAAAACCCCAAAAAACCCCAAAAAAACCCCAAAAAAACCCCCAAAACCCCCCAAAACTCCCAAAAACCAAACAAATAAAACCCCTAAAAATCCCCAAACCCCCCCCAAAAAAAACACAAAAAAACCCCAAAAACCCAAACAAATAAAAAACAAACAAAAAAATCCCCAAAAACCAAACAAATAAAAAACAAAAAAAACCCCAAAATTCCCCAAGCCCCCCAAAAAACAAACAAAAAACGAACAAAAAACAAACCAAAAAACCCAAAACTCAAAAAAATCCCCCAAAATCAAACAATTAAAAACCAAAAAAAAACCCAAAATCCCCAAAAATCCCAAAAAACCCAAACAATTAAAAAACAAAACAAAAAACCCAAAAAAAACCGCCAAAACCACAATTAAAAACCAAAAAATCCCCAAAAATCCCCAACCCCACGCAAAAATCCCCCAAATCTGCCCCCAATCCCCAAATCTGACCCCAAAAACCCCAAAATCTGCCCCCAAATCCCACCCCAAAACCCCAAATCTCACCCCAAAATCCCCAAAAATCTCCAATCCCCCAAAAATCCCCCAAATCCGACCCCCAAAAACCCAAATCTGACCCCAAATCTGAGCCCAAATATCCCCAAAATCCCCAAATCTGGCCCCAAATCCCCCAAATATCCCCAAAATCCCCCAAATCCGACCCCAAAAAACCCCAAATCTGACCCCAAATCCCCCAAAATCCTCCCCAAATCTCCCCCAAATCCGACCCCAAAATCCCCCAAATTTCACCCCAAAACCCCAAAATCTCCCCCAAATCCCCCAACCCTGACCCCAAAAACCCCCAAAATCCCCAATCCTCACAAATGTGACCCCAAATGCCCCCCAAATCCCCCAAATCCCCGAAATCTCACCCAAAAACCCCAAACATCCCCAAACCCCCAAATCTCCCCCAAATCCTCCCAAAATCCCCAAATCTGACCCCAAATCCCCCAAAACTCACTCCAGAAACCCCAAATCCCCAAATCTCACCCCAAAAACCTCAAAAATCCCCAATCCCCCAAAAATCCCCCAAATCTGACCCCAAATCCGACCCCAAATCCCCAAATCTGACCCCAAATCCCCCAAAACCCCAAATCTCCCCAAAATCTCCCCAAAATTGTCCGAAAAATCCCCCAAATCTGACCCCAAAACCTCAAAATCTCCCCCAAATCCCCCAAATCCGACCCCAAAACCCCCAAACCCCCAAATCTGACCCCAAATATCCCCCAAATCTCACCCCAAAACCCCCAAATTTCACCCCAAATATCCCCAAAATCCCAAATCCGACACCAAATCTCCCCAAAATGCCCCAAATCCCCAAATCTGACCCCAAATAT